AGAGGGGCTCCTAGAATGTGCTCTAGAGAGTCTGCTAGAGATAGAGGAGGTTGTTGGTGGGGAGGGAGCTTTTGAAGGGGAGGGAGCTTTTGAAGGCGAGGAATCTGAGGATGCAGTGACAGCTGTTGTGAGTATGGAAGTTGAGAGGCTTACTATAAACAATGCCTGTAACTTTTGCAGGGTGACTAATATCCTGGACAAAGAATTAACGATGTCAGGATTTTCCACCTTTACCTCGAAAATTAACTCCATATCTTTGAATCATGATGTCTCTATTTTTTTCCCTGAATTCTCTGAGCAGAAAGAGTTGTTCAGTCTTTAGGAAGGGCTGCTTAATAAATGATCATCACTGAAGTATTAACGACAATAAGGATTAGAAGTAAGGCAGAAAATACTTGGCATAATTTGAGTACCTGGTGGGTGCTGTAGAATGACTTGCTGGGTGAAGGGTTCCGGTTTGAAAAAAAGTCCGGATGACAGGACTTTCTCTACCTGCATTAATGCAGTAGCCACTAGCCACGTGTGGCTGTCAAGCACCTGAAATCTGGGTAGGGTGATAAGTCGATTTTTAAATCAAAAATTGGTGTTCCATTTAGTTTTTGGAAAACTTCGTTATGTTTGGAAACAAGTTGGGTATGTGCATCTACTTTTTAAGCTGTAACTTTTATGAAATCTAAATTCAGATTGAGTATTTCTGATGAAGGTTTAGTGTTCGAGTTGACATGTGTTGTAAGTGAATATGCTCTGGATTTCAAAGACTTAGTACAAAAAAAGAGTAAAATATCTCACTAATGTTTATATCGATTACATGTTCCAATGAAAATATTTTGGGTATATTGTGTTAAATGAAATTTATGGTTAACGTCACTTTAACCTGTCTATTTTTTAGTTTTTTCAAAATGTGACTACTGGAATATCTAAAATTACATACATAGCTTGCTTTTTACTTTTCTGGGACACCACTGGCCTGTAGCATTGCTCCTTTTTCTCCCTGGATTAATTTCAAAAGAGGTGACTGCGTGAAATACAGTTCCTTCATGTTTGTCAACCATTTACTTTCCCCTGCTATTTTCCATTTGGAGATTTGGGAGCACCAAGAGTTAACTATCACAGTATATGAGACTAATAGTGACTGCCCTGCGGATTTCTGTGCGGGAGGCGTGCCCTGCACAGGAAGGTCAATAAAGACGTCCCGGGTGCTGGAAGGGCTGGTAGGGGTGTCTTGGGAAAATTTAGCGATCCACATATCTGGCCAGAGCTGCTTTTGTAAAAGGTTCCTGGGCATGCCAAAATATATCAGAGAACAGCTCGTGGCACTGTAACAGTCATGACACCTGGTGGCATCTTAGTGATGCCACCCACCTTTGTTTATTTTCTCTTTCTTTGCATTCACTTTCTGCCCTCACTTCATAGCAACATTGGTGGTAATGGGGCCCACAAGGTTCCTGACCCTTTTCCTCCAACAAAAAGTATAATGTCGACCTGAATGGAGATGTTGCTATCTTTGGAGTTTGGTTTTATCTAATGAGATTCAGTAATGGCAGTGGAAGGGACTTGGGCATTTAGTACTCTCCCCTCATTTTGTAGATGACAAACTCAAGTATCTTGCCGGTTGACATACAGAGAGAGGAATTCAGCATGTACGTTTGTTGATAAGCTATTTCGAGAATCCCTGGGAAATGAAGAAGTTTGTCAATGAATTAGGCAAGTATTTGTTGAGCTTGCACTCTATGGAAAGGACTGCGATGAATGTTGTGGAAGGACATGAAGACAGCAGTCTCTGACTTCAGGAACAATGCTGTTGGTTTGAGGAAATCAGATGTAAACAGTACCAAAGTAAATCACAGTTTAAGATACAGCACTTCATAATGAGTGCAGTACCTCTGTGTTACAAGTAGAAATGTGTTCCTTTTCTGTGTGTTACAAGTAGAAATGTGTTCCTTTTCCAGGTGTAGGAATAGAAGCTCTGAGAATGGCGGACTCTGCAGAAAAGAGGAGTGTGATTGTGTTTCCGGAACAGCCCAAGGCTCTAGAAGTAGAGGTCAGTGCACGTCTTTGGTATCGCCCCCTTTAGCTGTCCGTTAAGGGAATTTGAGAAGTAAGACCCAGCATTTCTAAATGGCAGTGCTGCCAGTAATGAGGAAATCATAGATTAATTGGAGACACCCAGGGTTTTTAGAGAGACTAGCTAGGGGTGGGTCATTTTGAAGTCAGCTGGTGTATTTTTGATTGGTTATTCTAAAAGGGAATGATAACAGAGGTGAGACGGAATAAAATTGACTTGTGAGCAGACTGAAATCCAAAATCTGGGGAAACAAATTAAATCTCGAGCAAAATCCAACAGTGAAAGAAGTAGACAGCTGGACTACAAGTGTGTATTCTGAGTACACATGTAAAGGGGAAAAAGGCCCATAGAATAGAATATTATATTCTATTAAGCATTAAGTGGGATGGTCCATTTATTTGTAGATTTTTAGTCTCCTGGAGCCTTTTTGGACTAAAATCCCCACCAGTTCGCTCCTCTTTCTGTCTCTGCATTATTGTATAGAGACCTTCTGTGTTAGGTTTTTTCTTCATGACCTGCTGAGGTTACGCAGCGTGACTGTTTAGAGGCCAGTGCTTGGAATGGGTAAAACAATGTCACCCCCTCTGTAATTACTCCCAGTTAATGCTTCTCTGTGAGAATTGGGGCTGACTTGGCCAAGGCAGTCGTCCTTGGCTTTTCCTTGCCGTTTTAGCTGATTTATTTCTCCTAAAGAAAGAAAAAAATGTGTAACCCCCTTATTCCTGATTTCCTACTAATCTTGGTACAAGTTAGTTTTCGAACGCTATTACCAGCAAAGCTTTGCCGTGAAACGCAGGTATGCATTCTCTGTATTTCTGACAGAGCAGTAGTTGACATTTAGCACTTTCTGTTGACAGTACATTTTTATAACATGACAGTTTGGTCAAATGCGCACATTTTATAATGTCACTGAGTTGGATTGTGGTTTTCAAGTTGGGGAAGGAAAAAACATCACACTTTAGTAAAAGACCAGTGGATTTAAATTAACCTGTTTAAACTATTTTAGTTTTAAAGTATTGTCAGATATTTTGCATGCCAGCAGTTCATTTCATGGTTCCTCCAGTTATTTAATATATGATCAGATACCTAAAAGTTCAAAATCACTATATTTTCACTTTCGGTCTCTTGATAAGAGAGACGTGACATGTTTTTTGTGTGTGCATTTGTACTCCACGAGGTCTAAAAGCACATTTTTAGTATACCAGTTTGTCAGTAGTACTTGGTTTTCTAGTTGATAATATTTGGCGCATGCATCACGAAGAAATTGTTCTTGTATCATTTTCATCATAGAAGAACTGAGTTTAAAATCAGGTTGATCTCTGGAGGAAAGCATTTTACATCATTATCTTTTTCTTCCTCTCTTACTGTGCAGTATACTTCCGTACTGTAGCATTAGCACCTGCCATCATTTGTTTTAAAATTAAAATAAGTCAATTTTTTTAAGAAAAATCTACTGAAAAAGAAGTGTTTCTGATAGATTTAGTTTTTTAAATGCGCATTTATAAGAAATAATTTCCATGAAGAAATAAAACATTTTAAGTGTTTACTAGTATTTATAAAATACAGTTCTGAAAATCCACATTTTTTTCTTCCTTGAAACTGCTTTAGAGTTATTCTGAGAAAATCACAGAGTAATGGCAGTTTGCTTTTTGTTATTACTTGGCCTCTAGGCTCCCCGCCCTATCCCCCCGCGCCCAGTTTAGGTAGAAAAAGAAATGAGAGAAAAATAAGGAAGTAAAGGACATACTCATTACTTTTTGTACCAAAAATCTTTAGTTGTCTGATTTTTGGTCATGGCTAATAGAGTGAATTTCAACTTTGTAGTACATTACAAACATGAAGTTCGGGTTTGTTGACTTCATATTTAGACATTCAGTTGCATTAGTACTCAGTCTTTGTGAGGAACAGTCTAATAACTACTAAGTATATCAGAGTTATTTATTTGTCCCCATACTTACTTACCCTCTAGTATCTCACAGTAAGTATTCCTCTTTTCCAAAACTGACAGAACTTGTGGCTGGGAATTGTTTGGTGGTAATCTTTTTATCCTTTTTGATGTATCAGCTATCTAAAATTTCATTCTCAAATAATCACAATATCTTTGTTCATGTAACAGATGTTTATAATTTGGGTAAAATGTGCGACTATTTCCAGGAACCTTAGGTTAAGGGATCCAATTTTTTTTTTTTAAATCTTCATTGCCCTCTCGTGTTTCAACTCTGTATTACATCAGTTGGCTAAGACCTAGGCGATGACCTCTTTAACTGTTACATATTTTTGCACTTCAGAGAATGTTGTTTTAATTTGTATGTGGGTGGATTGTTTCACTAGATATTCCTTTTCTGAAGATGAGGTCAGTTTCATAGTGCATAAACTTAACAGTTGAGCTAGGCTCACTGTACTCTATTTTCTGACCTGTGCTCATCTAAAGAATTGATTCATCTCTCTGACTTATTTGAAGTAGAGAGCTAATATCTAATTTGCATATAATGAGTCTTTGAAACTGAGCAAATGCCTAATTGAAAACACAGTTATTTTTCAAATATCTGTCAAGTTACGCTCATATTGAAATAACTTGAGAACTTATGACTGACATGGAAAAACAATGAGTGACTCATGGCTTTAATAAGTTGATTATTCTGAAGCCTGAATTCTAGTTTCAGAATCTTTTTGTCCTTTTTGTTAAAAGTACATCATCCCTGGGACTTCCCTGGTGGTCCAGTGGTAAAGAATCCGCCTTACAATGCAGGGGACAAGGGTTCGATCCCTGGTTGGGGAACTAAGATCCCACATGCTGCGGGGCAACTGAGCCCGTGCGCACCACAACTACGGAGCTTGCGCGCCTCAACTAGAGCCTGCGTGCTGCAAACTACAGAGCTCATGCACTGTGGAACCCACGCACCACAACCTGAGAAGAGAAAATCCTCATGCCACAACTAGAGAGAAGCCTGCACACCACAAGGAAGAGCCTGTGTGCCGCAGTGGAAGATCCTGCGTGCCAACCAAGACCCAACGCAGTGAGAGATAAAAATAAAGAATAAATAAATCTTAAAAAAAAAAAATGTCCATCATCCTTGAAGATGACTTCAGGGTACATCTCAAAGGTACAGATAATTTTAAAGCAAGTGATGTGTGTGTGTTGATTTTTTAAAAGGCATTCCAGAGGTGGTTAACGATCCTTCATCCTAACTGTAAAATTGACATGACTTCAGTGAAAACACCTCAGAGGTGTGATAAATATGTAATCTTCATCAGTGTCGTCAGTTTGAGTATATTCTTAGCACTCAGAGCAAGAACAATAAAAGTCATTCTTTTTGCTAGTTTTTCTTAAATCATAAAACTCCCACAAGCTTCTGCTTCATGATCTGAGATGCTGAGAAAACTAAAAATTTTAAGCAAAAAGTAGATGTTTTCAGAAACTTTGTTTGCATAAATTGTGTAAACTGAATATCCCCTCGATGGAGTTGAGTGGCTAGGTTGGGGTAGAGAAAAACACTAGGTTCAGTCATTTGACATGGATTTGAACTCAGGTTCAATGTAACTTAGTGGTATGATCAGGTAAATCACCTAACCTCTCTTAGATTTTTATTTTCTTTCTGTAAAATGGGCTAATGATACCTAACATATTCCAGAATCCTTTTGTGATGAATTAATGAGTAATTCATTGACAACCCCATAGGGGTTCTTGTGAAAACTAAAGCAGAAAGCCATAGAAAATTACTGAATGTTAGGCAGATATGAAGTATTCTTGCCATGTTTGATCACGAGCACTTTGAGGATAGGGACCAGGTCTTATTTATCTTCATTTCCTGGACATCTAGAAGAGGTCTTGGAATATAGTAGACCCTAAGTAAATATTTATTGCATGAATGATTGAGGTCAGGGAGATGGAATCAGCAAATCCATGCACCGAAGAGGTAACACTGTGAAGTAGAGCTGGAAAGCGTATGTGATGTGTTCTTGGTTGCTCATCAATATGTATAAATCATGTGTTCATCTTTTGTCTTAATATAATTCAACCAGGCGTTTTACTATTTCAGCCTCGCTAATTGTTGGGCTGTGACACCACTTTTTCTTCTGCTTCCCCAAATCTCGAACCAGAAGGGGATCTTTTAGTCTTCCACTTCCTGGGGAGCCTTCAGAGGGAGTCATGCAGCCACCCGGAAAGGATGCTGCCAGCCGACACAGTGACTGACAGGCTGCCCTGGCTCAGTTATCACAGTGCTGATGCTGTCCATTCTAAAGGTACAGTACTGTGATAACTGAAGGATGGCAGCCATCTTGCCTTCCATCAGAGGAGCTCTGTCGTGCCTGGGAAGGAAGACAGAAGATGAAAGAGGCATGCGAAACAGTGGCAGGGACCCAGAAACCCTCTTACCCTGTTCCTGTATTGTGCTTTCCCTAGAGCACAGGGAATGTTATTCCATCTGTCTTTGCCCTGTTTTGTGATATGCGACTAAAGAGGAGTTGGGTAGTTGTTTGCCTTGTTGTACTGAGCAGACATGTTATTAAGATCTTTTGGGACTTTTAAGAGACTGATTTGGGATAAGTGCGAAGTGTGGATTAGTATCTCTGGAATGGCATTCAGAGACATTTGTGCCACTTTTATAAACATAAAAAGTAACCTGATTAAAATATCTTGATGCTTGTCAATATTAGATGTTCAGAATGAAATTCAACTTAAACAGGGAGAAAAAAGCCCTGCGTGTTGAACAGTATTCATATTATTGCGCGAATAAAATTACGTCTTTGTGTTTAAGAGTGGATAGAGACATGTCATGTTTCTTTCCGTAACAAAATTTAGAATCTAGTCTAATTCAAAACTTGTTGAATGCCCATGTTATTGCTGCTGTCACCTTTACATGAAAGTAAAATGTAAATAATTTTACTTGTGTCAGATAATTAAGGACTACTCTGCAATGACATCTAGAACAAGTCAATTTCAGAGATATGAAGCTATAAATACCAGCCCAGCATTGGGTGTGCATAAAAGACTAGGAAATTTAACAGAGCACACATCTTCAGCCTGCATCCTTGAGAGTACTTCTGGGGTTAGGGGTGGGGTTATTATAGAACCCAGGGTTTCCCACATCCCTCCTCCCTCAAGACTCCCGAGGAAGCTATACACGTGGAACAGCAGCAAACAAGGATCAGAATGCATGACCTGATTATGTGTTACATCATAGCCCGTTGCAAGCTCAGGTAATTTCATGTAGTTCAGCCTCAGTGCCCTAAACAGAGACCTCTTAACCTCTTCCCAGGCTCATGTCTATACCTGGAAACCTTCCCACCCCATCGATAGGAACTGGTTTAGGAACCCAAAGCCGTGGGCAAAGAGAAAACAGAGCCTGCTGAGCTCAGGACCTGCTACCACAGGGCAAGAAGAGCCAGGGAAGGAAAAATTCCATGTGTGACCCTTTAATGTACAGAGACCTTACTCACTACTCAGCACAGCCCAGTTAAGGCCTTAAGCCCATTTTATTATCAAGTCCTTCACTGGGACAGAGTATGGAAGAAAGGGAACCTGAAGCGAGTAGAGAGGCAAAGTGTCACCTCCTCTCCAGAGAGCTTTGTTCTCCCCGCTCATCGTGCTCCTTTGTTGGTCTACAACAGTCCTCTGACCTCTTCCCTCCCCTTCTCGACCCCAGCGGGGCCATTGCTGGAAGAACCCCTTGAGCCACACCTGGTTGGCCCTGAATTGCTTTCCACATAGCATTGACCACGTTATGGCCCAGGACCTTCACATGTCTGCATAACTCAGGATTTCTCCAAACCGCAGGCTGACTCTGGTTTTGATTAGTTATAGGGGGATGGCTCTGCCCAGGTGTGTATTAGATTACCAGTTCTGCAATTCCTTGGAGTTTCCTGCTCCCTTAAACAGAAAAGGAATTTCAGACAGAAACCCTGGAAGAACTTCTAAGGAAGGAAAGTTCTGGGGTTGGTGAATTATCAACTCGATACACTCCTAACTTTTAGTGTTACAGCAGGTAGAAAAAAAGTGCCTCAGGGAGTGATGTGTTGCGCAGTCATTGGCCTCGGTGAGGATTTCACCACCTACCTTGATCTTCCTGTTTTCCCATTACTAGTTTTACAAAAATTCGGGTTTTATACTCACTGGATCTTGACCCCAAGTCCACACCCGAACCCGTGGGCTATTGCAGAGCTGAGTGTTGGGTGTAGTTTGGAGTCACTCCTGCATTTCCGCAGACAGCCATACTGGGTCCCATTTCCTGTCAACAGGAAAGCCTGGGCTCAGTCTGGGGCGTGAGCACCAGAGGGCCTGCCTAGGCCTGGAGGTCCTTGGCGCTTTGGGGCAGTTCATAGATGTAAGGGGTTTCCAGTGGGTTAAGTGAGACGTGATGCAAGCAAAATATGACGGGGTTTTTCAATTGCTTTGTTTAAAACACACATACACACGACGTGTGTGTGGTTGGTGTATTCATTGTATCCTTCAGTTTAGGTATGTGAGAATGGGAGGACTGGAATTAAACTCAGGAATATCACATGATCCAGCACTTCCACTTCTGGTTATATACCCAAGTGAATGGAGTCAGATATTTTTGCACCCGTGTTCACTGCAGCATCATTCACGAGAGCCAAAAGGTAGAAGCAGCCCAGGTGTCCGTCGATGAATGTGGATAAAGTGTTTATACACACCCCAGAATATTACTCGGCATTATTAAGGGAGGAAATTCTGACACGTGTTATGACACGGATGAACCTTCACAATAGCTAAGTGAAACGAGCCAGGCACGAAGCGGTGTATGAATCGTCTTATATGAGATTCCTACAGCAGTCAGAGTCATAGAACCAGAGGAATGGTGGTTGCCCAGCACTGCAGGAAGGGGGAAATGGGAAATTCACGTTTAACAGAGTTACTGGGAAGATGAAAAATTTCTGGAGTTGGGTGATGATGGTTGCACAATGTGAAGGTACTTAATACTACAGAACTGTACGCTTAAAAATGGCTAAGATGGTAAATTTTAGGTCTGTTTTACCACCACCAAAACCAAAAAAAAAAAGGGCAAGGTAATAGCACTGTTGCAGGATTGAATTGATTGCTCTCTTCTTTAGACAGTCTTCAGTGTGAAGATAATTGCTGTTTCAAATAAGCAATTAAAATGGAATTCCCGTGTCTTTATGCATTTAAAGTTCTCTAATCTGTAGACCGTTAGACATATATCCAGGGTTTCTCACATAGCATAGCTTTAAAATTTTGTAAAATATAAAGAAAACTAAGTATAATAACAATGAAAGTACTAAAAGTAGAGTGAAGAAAAGGCCTCACAGGAAGGCAGATGTTGGGGCATCTCGTGCCGGCTTTATGCCTCTTCTGGTGAAATAGGGCAACTCAGTGGACCTTTCCATGCTCTAGTTGCCTCATTTGCCTGCCTCTTTGGAGTAGTGGTAGAGATGAAATTTTGTGTGTGTGTGTAGTTTGTATCGTATGCATAATATATGTGTGTGTGTGTGTGTGTGTGTATGTATGTGTGTCTATATGACCATTTTGATGACCAAAGCGACATTCAAGTGGCATGTTATTTCTTTTTCTCAAAATGTAGAAATACAATGTCTGAAAAGATTTTAAAATAACTTTTAATATTTTAAAATAAACTTTTAATAAACATCCTAACTGGACTTGTCACTCAACTATTCCCAGCCTCATTAAAAGGAGTATTCTGTAGCTTCCTCTTCACCACAAAAGGTTTTTTTTTCTATTATTATATGTGTAAATTTGAAAATAAAAGCATAGAGACTAGAAATAGACAGCAATAACCTTCTCTAAGGGATTGCATGTTTTATTAGCCCTGAGTAGCTTGCTCTTCATCATGAAAGATTTTTTTTTCTATTTGTTATTATATGTTTAAATTTGAAAATAAGAGAAGTAAAAGCATAGAGACAAGAAATAGACAGCAATAACCTTCTCTAAGAGATCGCATGTTTTATTAGCCCTGAGTAAAAGGCATCATTTGTGGATTGTATCCTCTTTATCACAAAGCTCTCACTTGGACTCATGCTCTGGAAATCAGATTTTGGTGGTAGGAATGGCCCCCACCAGATCCCATGCAGTATTCTACCTTGATGATATCACACAGAGTTGGAGCAGAAAGTGAGCTCTGATCCCTGCCGTGCCAATTTCAAATATTTTGCTATGCCTTGTATGTTCTGAGCTTCCCTGAATAACCAACCAACTATAAATATGCCACGAATTTGTCTGTACCATTATTAAACTGACTTGTTTCTTCCAAATCAATTGCTTTTTGAGACAAGAAGATTCTTATGTTTCTGTGCTTCATGTAGAGGATTTTTTCCCCTAAAAATTGCTTCCTTAAAACTGTACATTCATATTCACAATGTATCCTCGCCAAACAGTTCATTTTCACCATTACCTGTTAAGAATCTTTTATTACACAAGTTCTTCATTAAGCATGAACAAGAGTAAGGGAGGCACCAAAAAACCACTTTGTTTTTTCTTTCTATATCCAAACCATGATTATGAAGATTCCCATTGGAAGGGAATGCCAGAGGGTGTGCCTGGAATATTCTCAGCTGGAGTTCCTTATATTGGTTGAAAGGGCTTTGTGTTGTAATGTGTGCCCCTAATGTAATAGATGTTGAAACAATTCACATAATTGACATGGAGTAAAGTAAGTTGATTATGTCTTGCTTTATGCATTTGGACTATTACTGTACTTTTATTTTTCATGAGATTATGAGGAGATGGATAGTTCTGTTAAAAAGTGGGAAGACAGGACAGTTCCAGTGTAGTGGGAAATTCATTTTCATTTTTTTGCCACTGTCTTTGTAAATGAAATTCCAGACATATTATTCAGACTGCAATTGCTTGATTTTTTTTTTTTTTCACTTTGAAAATGAGTATCTTTGGATCGGGGATATCTTAGGGTCAGTGGGCGTAGCTGCCTAGAGCAATTTGCAGAGAAGACTTTTGAGGCCCCATCTGGGTTCCACAGAAAGGAGTGCTGTAACCACCTTTCCATATCTACCTGTGGTCAACTCTCAGTGTCTGTCATTGACATCAGGTTGTGATGCAGGGGTACATTGCTGACCCCTTTCCAGGTACTATAAGAGCTTTAGATCCTCTGGGAAAGCAGACATTCTCAAAAGTTATATTGATAGACTAGAACTCTGGGAAGCTATGTCATTGAGAATCTAGACACCCTTTCTTATGGGGAAGGCAGCATGGGCTTCTAATTAAAATGTCTACCAGCATAATGTGTAGAATTATGCCTAGACATAAATCTTCCCGGTTTTATTATCATTCACTGATTTCTGTAAAATTATTCTGATACTATTCTAATACCATAAAATTTGCCACACTTTAGTAAATGCATTTTGGGCAATCTTGCATGGTTTATATATGTAGAATTTTGTGTACATAATTGGGTCTAGTAGCTAGAAGAGGACTTCCTTCCCCCCCCACTCCTTTTTTTTAAGTTGTCAGGATTATTTGCTTGAAATGAGTTAGTATTTGTTGAGTGCACGTGTACCAAGACTCTTGTTTCATCCTAATTCAAATCTTTGACGAAGCGTTCTCCACATTTCATAACTGAAGAACCTGAGGAAGCTCACAGAGTCTTCAAGACACAACTAGTAAGTGGTAGAGGAAGGGGATAAGTCTAGAACAGAAAGAGTATGAGAAATTAAGTTAATGTAAATTAATTCTGCTTTGCTTTTGAATGTAGATTAGTAGATGAGGCTTTGAAGAGGAATTAGACCCAGCATATGTCACAGTGCTTTGAAAC